AATGGTAACTCAGAAATGGCAACTTCAAATCTCAACAAATAAATGCTCTGTCTTACATATTGGCAAAAAAAATCAGAAAATAAAATACAAGCTGAATAGTCAAGATCTTGTTGATGACCCAAGCTCTGTAAAGGACCTTGGAATACTCACCTCTAATGATCTAAGTGCTAGAGCCCACTGCAACTACATAGCCAAAAAGGCATTAAGAGTTGTTAACCTAATCCTACGTAGCTTTTTCTCTGGTAATATCACACTACTAACCAGAGCATACAAAACATTTGCTAGACCAATACTCGAATACAGTTCATCAGTCTGGAACCCACATTACATATCTGATATTAGCACAATTGAGAAAGTCCAGAAATATTTCACAAGAAGAGTTCTCCACTCCTCTACTCGTTGTAGAATACCTTATGCCACCAGACTTGAAATTCTAGAACTAGAAAACCTTGAATTATGCCGTCTTCGGTCTGATTTAAGCATGGTATATAAAATCATACATTGCAATGTCCTACCTGTCAATGAATACTTCAGCTTCAACCATAACAACACAAGAGCACACAATAGATACAAACTCAAAGTTAACCGCACCAAACTTGATTGCAGGAAATATGACTTCAGCAATAGAGTGGTCAATGTCTGGAATACTCTACCCGACTCTGTAGTTTCTTCCCCAAACCCCAAAAACTTTAACCTTAGACTGTCTACTATTGACCTCACCCCTTTCCTAAGAGGTCTGTAGGGGGCGTGCATAAGCGCACCAACGTGCCTACCGTCCCTGTCCTATTGTTTCTCTTATTCTTCTTTTATTTTTCTTATATGTATCCATTTCATGTATTCACAACTATGTATACACTTATACTTATTATCTTGTAAACAATTGGCAAATCAAATAAATAAAATAAATAATAAAATAAACTACAGAGCACTAAAGTACATTCAGCTGGTTGACAAACTTCTTTCAGCATACAAGACCATGAAGCACAACGTATCACCAAGGATTCATTTTCTGCATTTACACTTGAAATTCTTTCCCAAAGATCTATATGCAGTCAGTAACAAACAAGGGAAAGGTTTCACCAAAACATTGTCAGAATAGAAAAATGGTATGAGGACAATTGGAATCCATCAATGCTGGCTGATTATTGTTGAACAATGCAGTAAGATGCATCAGACATCATACAATAAAAAAAATCAGCAGCAAAACACTTTAAGCCTGTTGAACTCATGCAATGTGTTGGAAACATAGAGTTTCCATTACATTATAATCATTAAAAAGTAATGTCATATTTCTCAAGATTCCTGTGATACAGTCATTCTGAAATTATATTTTGTTCAGTTTGAATTGATTTATCTTAATTGCCAAAGGTTTTTCAGGAAATAAAGCTTTTGGGGAAAAATGTCGGGCATTGTTAGCAATTAAAAATTTACTAATACTCAATTAAAATGTGATTTTGTGGAAACACCTGTTATAATATAAAACATATGACCTACAAGGTCCCTTCCAACTCTGATTATCTGTTATTCTCTTACATCTTAATTTAGAGATATGGGACATGGCATATTTCATTTATACCTCTAGTTTACACAGACAGTTGTTGCAATCTGCTCAGGAAGAATTGAGGAGCTGATAAATATAGAAAGCATTCATCTTGCTGACTCACTGAAGGACAGCGATCCTCAAGAGGTGAGAAGTGGCACTCATATTCGAGAGCATATAGACTCCCATCTCAGGGCACACATTGCTCAGTGACACTCAAGGCAACGAAAAACATAAATCAGTTGGAAAATGATTTTGGATGGTACTATTTCTAAACTTGCCAGCAAAAGAATATAAGAGAATATTAATAACAAAATAACAGAGTTGAAAGTGACATTGGAGGTCTTCTAGTCCAACCACCTGCTTAAGCAGGAAACCCTATACTTTTACACATATCGTTGGTCAATCTCTCCTTAAAAACCTCTAGTGTTGGAGCACACACAACTTCTGGAGTCAAGTCGTTCCACTGATTAATTGTTCTAACTGTCAGGAAATTTCTCCTTAGTTTTAGGTTGCTTCTCTCCTTGATTAGTTTCCATGCTTTGCTTCTTGTCCTGCCTTCAGGTGCTTTGGAGAATTGGCTGATCCTCTCTTCTTTGTGGCGGCCCCTGAGATATCAGAACACTGCTATTATGTCTCCCCTAGTCCTTCTTTTCATTAAACTAGACATACCCAGTTCCTAAAACCATTCTTCACGTTTTAGCATTCAATCCCCTAATTATCTCATTACCCTTCTCTGCACTTGTCTCAACATCTTTTTTATATTAGGACTCTGAAATACTATGGTTTTTAATTGTAACAATCCTGCTTATCTTTCATTCTTTAAATTATGTGGACGTTTCCCTTTTTGAAAGTGTATGCTTGTGTGTGTGTGTATGTGTGTGTGTGCACATGTCTGTACACTTTATCCATGGAGCATTCTGCATGCTCAATACCTGGCATCGGATTGTGATCAGGAGACCCCCAAAAATGGTCTTCATGATCTGACAGAGCAATGGAAGCACCATGCTAGAAAGCTATGCTACATATCTCAGCCTGATATTTCAGCTTGATCTGGTTCCACCCCCACCCACCCCGGACTAACGGTGTATCACAGCACTGTCCATTGGAATTCATAGAATCATAGGGTTGGAAGGGACCTTGGACTTGGAGGTTTTCTAGTTCAATTCCCTGCTCAAGGCAGGAGTCCTTATACCATCCCGGACAAATAGTTCTCCAATTTTTTCTTGAAAACCTTCAACAATGGAACACCCACAAAACCGGGGAGCAAGCTGTTCTATTGATTAATCATTCTCACTATCAGAAAATCCATTCTTATTTCCAGGTTGAATTTCCTTTTGATAAGCTTCCACCTTTGTTTCCTGCCCTGCCCTCAGATATTATGTAGAACAAATCAACCCCTTCGTTCCTGTATCAACTCTTCAAGTACTGGAAGACTGCTATTATGTCATCCTTGGTTTAAACATGCTTAGTTCGCTTAGTAGTTCATTGTACAGCAATAGCATTTAGACTTGTATACCATTTCATAGTGCTTTACAACCCTGTCTAAGCAGTTTACGGTGTCAGCATGTTGTGCCCAACAATCTGGGCCCTCATTTTACTGACCTCCGAAGGATGGAAGGCTGAGTCAGCCATTAAGAATCGAACTGCTGGCAGTTGGCAGACTTAACCTGCATTCTAACCACTGCACCACCATGGCTCTTATGATGAAGGCCCCTCACCATCTTTGTTGCTCTTCTTTGCACTTTTTCTAGGACCTCAGATCTTTTTGTATTGGAGTGACCAGACCTGGATGCAGCATTTCAAATGTGGTCTCACTATCGTAGTATAGAGTGGTACTATTACTTCCTGTGAGCTTGGCTGTGTTCTGATTGGGTGGGGGTGTGTTCTCATTGGTTGGGGGTTTGGCTGTGTTCTGATTCGTTGGGGGGTTGGCCATGTTCTGATTGGCTGGAGGTGTGTTCTGTTCAGGTGGGGGCTTGGTTGTGTTCAGGTTGGTCTTAGTTACTGGGGGATTTGAGCTGGTGAGCTGTGATCTTGCTGTTTGGCTTCGAGTTCGTGGTCGTGCTGCATCTTCATGGTGGGGGTCAGTTCGCTTCATGTATGGCTCAGAGGGGTTTGAAGTGGGTAGTGATGCAGCTGCAGTGCGGCTTCTGGTCCGTGGTCGTGTCTCATCTTCTGTGTGGGTGTGAGTCTGCTTTTTACGTGGACAGAGAACAAGAGAACGGCAAAGCCCTCCTCCCATATATAAAAGGCACTACAGACAAAAATAGCAAGATCCTCCAAAAACACAACATTAAAACAGCATTCTGCACAAACAGAAAAATATCTACCATCCTAAGAAACCCTAAAGACAAAATCGAGTTAGAAAACCAAGGAGTATACGAAATCCCGTGCACCGCCTGCCCCACCACATACATTGGACAAACTAACAGAAGAATAAGTGCACGCATTGAAGAACATAAGAACTCAATCAAAAAAGAAGAACCGACCTCTTCCCTGGTCCAACACCTCAAAGCCACAGGACATGAGATTGACTTTAAAAATACCAGAACTATAGCCAAAACCGAACACTTCAACAACAGAATAATCAGAGAAGCCATAGAGATAGAAAAACGCCCACACAGCATGAATAAAAGAGATGACACCTCCCGCTTACTAGCCATTTGGAAACTCGCCCTCATGAACAGACGAGTACCTAACATGATGAATGACACCAGACCCACACCCACGAGGGCCACACAAAATGCCACCACCACACTTCCACGTAAAAAGCAGACTCACACCCACACAGAAGATGAGACACGACCACGGACCAGAAGCCGCACTGCAACTGCATCACTACCCACTTCAAACCCCTCTGAGCCATACATGAAGCGAACTGACCCCCACCATGAAGATGCAGCACGACCACGAACTCGAAGCCAAACAGCAAGATCACAGCTCACCAGCTTAAATCCCCCAGTAACTAAGACCAACCTGAACACAACCAAGCCCCCACCTGAACAGAACACACCTCCAGCCAATCAGAACATGGCCAACCCCCCACCCAATCAGAACACAGCCAAACCCCCAACCAATGAGAACACACCCCCACCCAATCAGAACACAGCCAAGC